GAACTTCTGCTACACTTTTTTTCAAATCAAAATAGTGCAAAAGCACATGTCGAAAAAACACTTTATCGCGTTCCATTTTTCACAAAGCAAAAGAAATTGTTGTTTAGGAAAATAATTGTGTATGCTGACTGAATGTTATCGAGAAATGTCGAAATTAATCACAAACTACCTGTTTCGTTAGTAATGACTACTAGAACTGTTTGCATTGCCATCTAACATTTGCGGGCGGAAACTAAGTTAAGGTCCTAATATATCGCATTACGAAAATGGCTCCCGATAAAAGATTTCTAATTCTGGTGTTCAAACTACATCCAAGAGTTTTATGAAAAACTACAATAATATTTAAAACTAATGTACGATATAAAAATAATATAAAAATATCAACATTTTTGACTACGTAGTTTTAAATATATCAACATCTAAATGTCCCAATCTAATATTATTGTAAGTACGAAAAATTGAAGCGTGAAGTGTGGCAACAGCGCATGTGTTAGTATGCGTTCGTTGGGACGCGTCACTGTGTAAGTGTGTGTGTGTGTGTGTACGTATAGTGTGGACAGTTTTAGTCAAAATCAATTGTTTGCGCATGTAACCAAGGAAGAACTTTCTTTTGTTTTTCTTTTTATTATAGGACTGAACTTCTTGATAGTACTAGAACATTACAGGCGCGCTATTTAACATCTTTATCATTACAATAAAATTACTTTTAAATTACTTTATAAAATTACTTTATTTTTATCCTTATTTTTGCCTAAATAATATAGCTTCTCTCTTTGTCTGTCTTTTCGTTTTCCTCTTTCTCCTCTGTCCTTCTATTCTCTATTCTTCTGTTTTTTATAATTTATATCTGTTCTGTATTCTTTTCTTCATGAGCTAACCAACGCGATGACAGTTATTTGCCTGATAATTTGACAAGCGCAAACGACATGAAGCAAGCCGCAACTTACATAAAGTGAGCTAAGCGAGAGAACCGATCAGCATCGCGGAAAAGCGGCAACAATTAAATCTCTTACATGTCTTTTCTTAGAGTGGACTGTCGCGCTAGTACTATCTTAATATACGAAATCATTTACACAATCGAGGATCGTGTGACGAGCGCTTTACTGATAATTCTCTCATACGAGACTTCTGGAACGTCGCTCGGTCGCTACACATCGCGGATTATTTTTACTCTGCCGTACGCCAGCTCTCGAATGTGCATGTAGAGCGGACTAAAAATAAGCAACCCATACTGTTAACAATAGAAGCTAGATCTATGAGAATTTTCCTTTTTTTTTTAACAAAGTGCATAATTAGACGTGCTAGAAGTCTTTGTCCTTGATCACGAATAGCTCGATAGCTCGAAAGCTATGAATAGTCCGATGCGCGATATCAGAAGCACAAAGGACGAATCGACACGCACCCGCTCTCGCGGATTTCTGCCACAAAGGGTGGGGGGAGGGGGAGAGTCGCGAATTGGCGGATATTATTTTTGTCTTTTTTTTCGCGCGATATGATCGATCGATTGCGATCGCAAATCCCAACATCACGCGGAACACCGATCCGAACATCGAATCCACCGATTGGATCTGTCGGTGCGACAATCCGGCAGCCACGGATCCGTCTCTCGTTTGATTCGGTCTTAACGACAGCGCCGGTATTAACTCGCCGAGTGTGCGTGCGTTTTGTACGCACAAAAGAGGTGTGCATTCGCACAAAAGAGTGAGAAAGAGAGAGGGGGGAGGGAGAGACCTTCTCTTTGATCAATGTAGAGAAATATGAAAAGCGGGGAAAATTGCACACGATGGGAAAATAGAAAGGAGCGCGCGGAATGCCGGCATTCCGGCCACTCGAGTGAGAGCGAAGTCTTGACGGAGATCCGCGTCTGGCCTCTTCACGAGACTGACTTTCAAAGAGCCACCACCGCCGTCGTCGGCACGCGTACGTGCATGCGTATGCGTGCGCGCAAGCACGCGTAATGGAGCTTAGGCGCGCTCGCGAGGCTCTCCCCGCGCACGGAAAACGCCAACCGACGTGTGTATACCGAATGCGGCGGCGGCGTCGTCCAGATAAAAGAGCGCGAGAGCGCCGGGAGGCACGGCTGTACGCGCGGGCGTTCATGTACTATGCATGTGTGCGCCGTAATATCGATATTTCGCGACTAGAGGGGCCCCGACGTCGTTTCACGCGCCCTGGAACAGTGGGAGAGCTTAAAAGCATGTATGTTTTATATTTGTGTGCTCGCCTAATACACTCATTCATTTCCACTCCTCCTCCGCTTCCTCCCTTCCTTCCC